GGTTAGTCTCATTGGGATTCGATTTAGAACTGTTTTCTCCCAACAACAAATGGGGTTGGTGGGTGGAAATGGTAGGGGGCCCAGGGGAAGTGAGCATTCTGGTCCGGAAACCTGAGTCCCCTGGCACTGACCTCTTGGGCCTGGGGAGGAAAAGCCACTTACAACTTCCCAGTGATTTCTGGAAGCCATAGCCCAGTGAGGCTGATTTCTAAAGTGAATGTGTCAGTACCTGGTGTGTGAGCACAAGACAGGTCCCTGGGGGTGATTTCACTAAGAACTCCTTTGGGGGTGGGAGATGCCACAGCGGAGTCTGGGTGGCATCCTTTGGGACAAGATGATGGAGTACTTCTGTGAAGTGTCGTTAAGTGCCACTGAGTCAGTTCCAACTCATAGCAACCCTGTACAGGGTTCCCAAGGAGTGGCTGGTGGGTTTGAACTGCCGATCTTGCTGTTAGCAGTCCAGTACTTATCTGCCACAACAGACTAACACCGAACAAGGAGGGTCTTGTGGAAATGGTAGAGTAACTTGTAAGTGGACCTTGGAGAACCACTATAAAGGGGGAAATACCGGAGTGGAGTTGACATTTGAAAGAAGGGAGTTTGGAGCCGTTTCCAATTTGTTAGGACTTTGCATCTGGGCCGCCCCCGTCGGCTGCTGCCTCCGAAGCCCAATGGGGCACCTCTGCTCTGTGCACGTTGGGTCCCATCACTCAGGACCCACTCGACAGAGCTCACCACAAGTTACATAAACTCACATTTGTCCCGTATGTTTTTTATATTCTTGTTGGAATCACCTCACAACAGAATTACTCCGAAAGTCTCGTCATCTTTCAAGGTACACTGAAACTTGACCTGTGTCTCACAGTCAGAAAGCTTCTAGGGACCCATCGCGTTGACATCAGTGAACCTGGGGGAGCCCACGATTACCCACTACCTCCCTTTATGTGGGACGCCCAGGTGTGAGCATGGTGCTCAGGGATAGCTGCCCTGTACTCACCCACAGCTTCCCACTGCTCAGAGGACATTTGGGGACATTGTGAGCCAAGCAGGGATGTCTGGGCCAAGCATGTCCTGTACAGGGTGTAGCTGCCCAGTGAGCCGAGGTGAGAACTCAGGGCATGTCCGACCTAATGCCGTTCTGTCCAATCAGGCCTACAAGTATCTGGAGAAGATGCGCAAGAGGCTCCCTGCAGCCAACATGTCCTACTACGTGAGCCAGCACACCATTGATGCTGTGCACCAGGCCCTGGGCCTCCCCTTGGCACAGCTGGGACCCGAGCACATCCACCGCAACAGCGCCGAGGACGCCCAGGATGTAGAGGAGGTGGTGGAGGAGGTGGAGGAGGCCTGACTGCTGACTTCCTGCGCTGCACTTTCATGGCATTTCTCCGCTGACAGGAGGAGTGGCGAGAGCCTGACTTCGTGGGGAAACAAAAAAGCTTTCGTGTCTGAATGTGTTCGGAGCTGTGGGGATGTCCCTGTGCCGCTGGGCTGGCCTTATTGGTTCCGGTGTCTTCTTAAACCATTTGCTAAGCACTCCTGCCTTTGGTTCTCGTGGGACGACACCGGGCTCTGCAACATTCTCCGTTGAGTTTCTTCACTGAAGCAGGTGAGGGAGTTTGGTTCATTTCCCACGATGTTCTCAGCTACGGGTTGCAGAGCCCAAGAAAGATCTAGGACTCTTCATGAAGTGAGGACTCAACCAGAAGGCTAGGGCACGCTATTGTGCCCACCACGCATCACCCAAGTGCCCACAGTGGCCTGTCAGTTTCCAGTGAGGCCTCGCAGGCCCTGCAGGCTCTGCCCTTTCCACCCCTTGGTCGCCCACAAGAGGTCCACCAATGCCCAAGCTTTTCTATCACTGCAATAAAGTTTATTTTGTCCAAGGCCTGTGCCCTGCCTCTCCTCCCGTCTCAGGGCACCCCTTCAGGAACCAGCATTGGGGCTCAGGGTCTGCCCAGCACCCATGGCTGCTGGCTGGAGGCTTCTCCTTCCTGGTTCAAGTCCCTTGCCTTTAGGGGAGAGAGGGGCTATAGGGTGAAGTTGTTGTTGTTGTTGTTGTGTGCCATCGAGTCGGTTCCGACCCATAGCGTATAGGGTGAAGAGGGAGTAAGAAATGCGCCCCAGGAGCGAGTCTCAGGCTCTGGTATGCCACACCCCCTTGTAGCTGTGATTGTGTCAGCCTGCTTTCCTGGAGGGGTCCCAGTGGCTATAGCCAGTGGACAGGTGCCAGGGCCACCTCAAGTCCATACACGCCATTCCAGGTGACTGCAGGGCCAGGTGTGGCTCCTTTGGCAGCACTGGTGGCATCGGCAGGCCCCGCAGGCTGCGTAAGCTCCACAGACCGGTACCCGTGACAGTCTAGGGAGAAGGGTGCTGGAGGAGTGAGTCCTTGAGCTTCTCAGCAAGCAGAAGTGCCCGTATGGCCAGCGCCCTACAGTCCCCGTCGGGGTCATCCTCGGCCACATCTGTCAGACAACAAACAGCTGATGCATCATGTGCTGCAGGACAGGGCTGGCCTGTGTCCTCCCCTCACTGGGCCCCTTCAAGAGTCTGGGCCATCCAGACGTCCAGCCAGCTGCCCCAGCACACTTCAGGGCACTCGCTGGGGACAGGTCCCCCGGAGGTCAGCAGAGAGCGAAGACTACATGCTTGTGGATGGCTGTCAGTAAAGCCCCCCGCTGTGCGGCTGGGCATCAGGGCCTAATAAAGGGGCTTGGCACCCCGCCCCCCAGATAAACCTGCCCTGTGCCTCAGTCCCCACCAGCTGGATTTGGGGTTGGGAGAGCAGGTAGGCTGATAACCCTTGCCTGGGGACCCCCACCACCTCCTGGAATCGCTCCCAAGGGCAGCAGGCTCGTGTGCAGGGACCAGGATGCCCAGGCCTCCTCCCTTCAGGACAGTTTGTGCACAGGCTCACCGGCCAGCCAGGCCCGAGCCTCCAGCAGCTCGTCTGATAGCTCCCCCAGCAGCCGCTCAGCAGGCACGCTTAACAGCACAGACGCGATGGCCGACAACAGGCCCTGGCGGACGTATCTGTGAGCACACAGGCACAGGTGAGGATAAAACACTGCTCCCTGGTGGTCCCTTGGCCCCCACATCCCCAGGGACAGCTGACTCACGCATCAGTGTGGAAACGAAGGGCCCACACGAACTCCATCAAGGCTTTCCCCATCGGCACAGCCACCTGGAGACACGGGGCCGGGGTGAGGGGAGGGGGCGCTGCTAATGTGCTGGGGGGGCCCCACATGGACTCAGCCCAAGGGGCCAGGATGCCCATCCCAGGCAGCCCAAGTGAGAGCAGGCCACTTCCCGAGGCTCATTCTGCTCACCACAGTGTTTACAGCCAGGTACATCAGGGCCCCCAGGGTGTGGGTCAGCCTGCCCAGAACCAGGTGGTCCTCTCCCAGAAGGTCGAAGGTCACCAGAGGCCTACAGCATAGAAGCCGGGGATGGGCGCCCAGGACTGGCCCCTCGTCTGTGTAAACCCACAGCCCATGCGCCCCTCACCTGTCAAAGCGCTGGATGAGGGGGAAGAAGAAATAGCCGGCCACAGCGTTGAACTCGTTGGGGCCACACGCCGGGGGCAGTCTGAAGGAACCCTGCCAAGATGGGTGCTCTGTGAGAAGGGGGCCTCACCAGAGCACTGCAGCACAGCTGGTGACCCAGGAGAGGCAGGGGGCACACACACCAGGTGACAGCCACATCTCCCCACTTCGGCTCAGAGTCCCTTCCACCCCATCAATCCTGAGCGAGGATCCCAGGACCTGGTGTCATGAAATCCGGCAGACACCAGGAATGTCCCCTCCACGGGAGTCTGTGCTCAGACCTTTGCCACCAGTGAGGCCCCTGCTTAGAGGACATTTGGGGCCTCAGCACCGCCCCCCCTTCAGTATGGGTAATGCTGGGAAGGGTCCTGCCCACCTTAGAGAAGTGTCGGGTCTTGCTTCTGATCCGCTCCTCTACCACAGCCCGCCAGTCTGCAGGGGCCTCACTACTCTGCTGGGAGCTGGACAGGGTCAGCTTAGCCTGGTCACCAGGAGCAATGGGGCGCCGCGGCGGCACAGTGCTGCTGCGTCCAGGCCGAGACAGCTCGTGAGCAGCAAGAGTCAGGACCTTGGGAGAGACCAGACGGCCCACTGTTCTCCCAGAGCCATGGCCCTGAGGCTGAGATCAGACTTTGCTGGGGACACAGCCTCTCCAGCCACCAAGCTGCTGGTCTGCCTGAGGCAGGTAGGAGACTCCAGTAGCTCAGAACACCTGGCTCTGGTGGGGTCTGGAAGGAGGTTGGGTGGGTGTCTCCCATTGCCTGCTGACCCAGGGCTCCCTGGTTCTGAGAACTCGGCCGCATATATGGAACACAGCTCACAGCGGGGCATAGGGGTCAGCTAGACTCAAAGGCCGCATATCAGAGAGCAAGGGGCAGTGTTTCCAATCGGGGGAGTGGAAACGTTCTGGGATTAGACAGACAGTGGTGATGACAACGGTCCAGCCCTGTGAAGATATTAAACCGCTGATTCCCACCCTTCACAACGGTAGGTCTAAGGTGTGTGAACTACAGTTAACGAAGCTGTTATTAATGGCTGAAGATTCAAGTCCACCCAGGGGAGCTGCAGAAGAAAGGCCTGGTGTTCTCCTAGAGTCGGCCACCGACTCCCCCAGAGCACAGTTCTACTGACACCTACGAAATCAAGAAATCAAAGTCCTGAACAGCTGTTGACCAAGGCTCCGAAGACCAAGTCCACGAAATGCCTTGTACCTCTCAGGTGCGGCCCCAACGTGCTCGCGAGGTGCCCATCCCAACCTGACCCCCAGCAGCCTGTGTGCCCTGGCCACGTCCTGAGTGGGGACGACGGCGCAGGTACTCACATCTAGGATGTCCATGCGCTGCCGCAGGCTGTAGTTGAGGGAGTAGAACTGCGCAGCCAGGTACTCTGCCACCTGCAAACACGGGACCCCTGTAGCCCCCAATCATCAGTCCCAGACCCACACCTGGCCCTGGCCCTGAGGAGACTCACCCGCGCTGGATCCGTGACCACAACAGAGACCAGGGCTCTGCGGCGCAGCCCTTCGAAGCCCACCACGCAGGTCTTCTCCTCCAGATGCAGAAGTACCTGGGCCAGCTCCACACTCACCTGCACACAGGTGCTGTGCTCAGGTGACATTTGGAACCATGATCCCCACCTGCACTGCTGCCAACAGCCCCCCACTGCCCGGGGAGGACAAGCCACACCCCTCCATCCTGGCCCAATGGCCGCTCACCTCCCGTGTGGCTGAGGGGTTCCGGTAGACCAGGCCCTCCAGTGCCCGCAGCGACGCTTCCCAACGTTCCCAGTCCTCTGACGTCAGCAAGGCTGCAGAGAACAAGACCCGCCATTGGCCTCAGTCACAGCCAGGGTGGCAGCAAGGAGGGCCCTGCCCAGGAGACACACGTCTCAGACTAGGGGCTTCAGGCTGTGTGAGACCGTGAGAACAGGCACATTCGACGGTGAGCCCACCTTCCAGACAGTCCCGGAGGTACAAGGGCGCCTTGCTGCTTCTCAATTCCTTGTCTCCTGACATGTCGTAAGGGACAAACTCGTCATCACTACGGAGGAGACAGTGGACACTCACATCTCCCACTGATCTGGGGGTGGAGGGCCACACTCGGGGGGGGGTGAAGCAGGGACAGCTGTGCCCACCTGTCCAGCTCAGAGTCAGCACCCTCAGGCTGCACGGTGGGTGTGCCCCCACCCCGGCTACCATCAGCAGAGCTTTCTGTGGTGATGGGTGCAGCAGACAGGCTTTTTGGAGACAAAATTGCATGGTGTCCTTCAGGGACCACCCCTACCCCACCCCACCCCACCCCCACCAGCACCTCACACCCTCAGGAAAGGCCCTTCCTGGCGTCCTGCACACTGCCTTCAGCTCCCCGACCTCCGTCACCACTGCTGGAGCAGAAACACGTGCACAAGACACCCCCGCAGGAGAGACCCTCACCCCAGTGTGGAGGGGCCATCGTCCGCAGGCCCAGAAGCCAGCAAGGCGTGCATCTCGCGGGTCAGTTCATCTTCCTCGTACTGGATGTGCGGAGAAGGTGCCCTCAGGGACGCCCTTGGCAGGGGCCCCAATGGCAGAGCCCACCTTGTGTACTCATCCCATGGGTCCGCTCAGTGACCTGAGCTGGTCCCACCTGACCAGGGAAGCCACAACCTGCCTATGGTGGCCCTGGAGCCTAGCAGAGCCACACCAGGCCTGCACCCCACAGTGGGCAGCAGATCAGCTGAGTCTTACAGGAATGGGGGACACCCAGACAGACCTGGCCTCACGCCCAGCCAGGGATCCTCTCAGCAGGAGTCCCAGCCCAAGCTGGGGGGTGCTACCATCCCTGGAGCCCCACCTTTGTCCTCAGCCATGACCCCAATACCGACACACAGGAATGCTGCATGCATATTGGGGGACAGGCAGGTCCTGTGAGTGCAGGCATTACGTTACCTGGAACTTGAGGGGCGGACCCTCAGGGTGCAGACGGGCACTGAGGACCTCGGCCACCACCATGCCCAGGCGACGCACTGGCAGAAGACTGCTGTCCAGGTGGCTCTGGACCCCTGCCATCATGCTGGCCAGCAGTTCTGGAAGCAGTGGACAGCCCTGAGCCCCTTAGTGTCCCCACGCACAGCCCCACATGCTGCCCCCGCCCCCCGCTCACCTTCTCGCACGTCCAGGAGCTCGGTATCCCTCAAGTTCACCAGGCACACGAGGATGGCCTTGCTGACGTGCTGCTGCTGCGGAACTGGCACGTGTCTCACGGCGCTGCTGCTGCTCCATGTGTCCAGGAGTTCCTTTAGGACCTGGTAGGCATGGTCTCCACCTGGTCAGGAAGTGTCCCCACCCCTCCACCCCTCCAGAAAGGGGCTTGTGCCGGCAGAGCCACCCTGACCAGTCCTCATGGGAACGCCCACCATCATGCCCAGTGATACCTGCACCAGGAGAGGCCGCCGCTGGCTGTCCGAGGCCAGGTACCCCAGGAGACTCTGCAGCATGGGAGTCTGCAAAGGAAGCAACTCCTATGTGAGGCAGACACCTGGGCCCACAGGTGACCCCAGTGGGAGCCCTCTGGGCTTATCTAGGTGGACAGTGTGGGCCCCTAGGATAGAACTCTCCACCCAGCCCAAACTGTGCCCACAGGCCGTGGCTTCTGAGGCGCATGTTACGTCCAGACGTGTGGATATGGGCAATTTTCCTGAAGAAATTTCCTGTCTCATCAAAATTTGCAAATGGGCTGCAGGCAAGTTACTGAGAGCACCTCATGTTCTCCCAGAAATTCTTCATATTCCTCCCCACACCCTCCTCCTTCACTACCCTCCTCCCTCAACCCTCCTCCCTCAACCCTCCTCCCTCATCACCCTCCTCCCTCACACCCCCTCCCATTCTCTCAGCCCTCCTCCCCTCCCTCTCCCCTCACAGGACTCCTCCTGTTTTCATGGGTCTTCTCACGCATCCTTTTTCACAGACCACCTCCCATTCTCACGTGTCTCCCTCACAGCCCCCCTAACGTGGTCACAGGTCCTCCAGGACTCTCTGCGAACTCCCGTTTCTCACCGACCACCCCACAGACGGCCCCCGGTCTCAGCACCCCTCCGGGGCTGTCTCTCTCCTCACCGTGCACCGGTGCTGCAATAACAGCAGCTTCCGGCTCATCACAAACTGGGCCTTCGTATTCTTTATCACGAGGTTTCCCAACAGTCGACACAGGACCTCCGGCCTGAGGACGAGGAGGAACCAGGAAGAGCCGTGGTCAGCCGCTGGACCCAGGGTCAGCGGGGGCCCCGGCTATCTGGGGTGGACAGTTTCTCATCACTGTACACCCCTCCACATGATGTGCAGACCCTCTGATTGTGGAAATGCCACCAGCTTGCAGAGGAACCAATCATCACCAGGTAAGTGTGAGAGGTGAGGAAACCCACGGCAGCCCTTGGCCACGTGACAGAGAACCCGCTGGACCAGGGAGAGACGCCACCACCACCCCATTGATACAGGGACCACCGGCCACTGCGGGCGCCTAGGCACTGCACGCCTCACTGAATGTGAAGCACACTCACGGACTTAACCTACGAGAATCCTGTCGCACCCCAGGAAAAGCCAACGCGCTCCTTACCCTGGGGCAGCCTCCACAAGCCCCGTCAGCACGGCCTCCATGGCCCGATCGGGCACACACTCCACCAGGCGCCAGCATACACGCTGCCAGAGGCCATCGTGCTGGGTGAGTGCCGCCAGGCGGGGCAGCAGTCCACTCAGGAACTCCTCTGTGGGGACGAGGAGTCTGAAATGAGGCTTGTGGGGGTGGGGGGGACAGGGTGGCAGGGCCCCACCTCCACACGCTTCCTCATTCACCACCACTTACTGGGTCCCAGTTACAGGTGACAGGAAGTACTCACTTTGTCTCCCGTGGACACAGACTTTCCCCAGCACCTGGGACAGGAAGGCCACAGAGCAGTCCACGCCACCTGCGACAGAGGGTGCTAGCGGTGAGGACGTAACACACCCAGCCGGCTTCTACTGCCAAAGGGCCAATTCATTCCATTTAAGTCACAAACTCAAGTCACAAATTCCGGCTCAAACCGGGGAAAGCTGACAATGATGAGCATGCACTTGCCCTGTTCTGAAAGCATCACTGAACGGCACAAGACAGAACGGGTCACCGCATGTCCCCACCTTGCAGTCAGGTGTCAAGCCATGCGTGGAGCGTCAGGGGGTGGGTCCTGACCATCAGACAGCACTGCCTCCGATGCCAAGGAACGAACCCCGTAACTCATGGTCACCCCATGTATGTCAGAACGAACCCGTAACTCATGTTCACCCCACGTGTGTGTCAGAACGAACCC